AGTAAACAAGTATAAATGCAAATGGTCAGAGCGAGTCTAACGGCAAATGGTCACTATGTATAATGGCAAATGGTCAGTGAAACTTGTAGTAACAGCATTGTGACCATTTGCCATTTTAAACTTGTAGTAACGGCATTTTTTAGCTCACCTTAGAAAATTGACGAAATATCCTTGTTAGCCAGGGTAAACGAAGTAGAGCTAACTATGGAAGGGATACTCCGTAGCTACGATGACGTCGTAGGTGACCAGATTGGGTGCATACCGGGCGAGTACGAAATAAAGATAGACAAGAGTATTACACCGGTTATTCATGCGCCGAGACCAGTACCTGTTGCCCTTCGCGAGCAAGTAAAGGCAGAGCTAGACAATCTGCAGAAATGTGGTATCATCTCTCCCGTGGAACATCCAACTGAATGGGTAAATAGCATGGTGTGCGTGAGGAAGAAAAACGGAAGAGTCAGAATATGCATTGACCCAGGAGACCTTAATAAGGCCATACTCCGTGAACACTATCCAATGAACAGTATTGATGATATTGTAACCCGCGTACACGGCAGCAAATACTTCTCAACCCTTGACGCTAACATGGGATACTATCAGATAAAGTTGTCAGAACAAAGTTCATTTCTAACCACATTCAACACGCCGTTTGGGCGTTACCGGTACCTACGTTTACCTATGGGTCTGAAAGGTGCTGGAGAAGTTTTCCAACGCGAAATGATTACACAGTTTGGCAACCTGGATGGTGTTGAGGTAGTGGTGGACAATGTGCTGGTACACGGTAAGACAATTGAAGCGCACAATGCCCGTTTAGAGAAAGTCTTGAGCAAGGCTAGGTGTGCCAACCTCAAACTAAACAAAGACAAGTGTATATTGGCTAAACCAGAAGTCGATTATGTGGGTCACAAACTAACTGGAGACGGAGTCAAACCAACTCAGAAGAGAGTTGAGGCGATCATGCGTATGAGAGACCCGGAGAACCACAATGAGTTGGAAACAATTCTTGGAATGTTGGCATATGTATCAAAATTTATACCAAATTTGAGTGAGCTCAATGCGCCACTTCGTGAGCTGAAACAAGCCAAAGGGTGGGAATGGACGGACCAAGCGAAGGAAGCGTTCCAGAACATAAAGAACACGCTAACTTCAACAAAGGTATTGAGGTACTATGATGTACACAAACCGGTAAGAGTGACTGTAGACGCGTCAATGAAAGGATTGGGCGCAGCGATCATTCAAGAGGATGGAGTTGTGGCATACGCATCAAGAGCCCTCAAACCAGCTGAACAGCGTTACGCGCAAATTGAGAAAGAGATGCTAGCAGTAGTTTTCGGTTGCGAACGGTTTCACAAACTGCTGTACGGAAAATCTGACGTTACCATTGAATCGGATCATAAGCCGCTTCAAAACATTATGCAGAAACCGATACACAAGGCGCCGATGCGTTTGCAAAAGATGCTACTCAAATTACAGCCATATGAGTTTGAGTTGACATATGTTCAAGGAAAACACATAGGACTAGCTGACTGTCTCAGCAGACTACCGTTCGATGAGGTCGGTGAAAAGCCAATCGACGATGAAATGATGGTTCTGACTGTAGAGGCTCTATCATGTGGTAACCATGACACGATTGCCAAGGCAACCCGAGAGGACAACCAGTTCAAGGTCCTCAAACAAGTCATATGCCAGGGTTGGCACTACCATTCTGGGACTATCGTGACGAACTTTCTACATACAACAGAGTTGTATATCGTGGGGAACGTGTGTGCATTCCTACTGACCTGAGGGCGGCAACCCTCAAAACAATTCATAGTTCACACTTGGGGATCGTCAAATGCAAACAGAGAGCCAGGGAATTAGTTTTTTGGCCTGGCATGAATAAGCAGATAGAGGACGTTGTAGGTAGATGCAGTGCATGTCTCACGTACAGGAACAAGATGCCCAAGGAACCGATGATAATCCACCCTGTGCCATCACTCCGATGAAGCAAGGTAGGGACCGATCTTTGCGAGCTCAATGGCAAAACCTACCTGGTGCTAGTTGACTATTATTCCAATTTCATTGAGGTAGCACCACTTAAAGATACTAGGACAAGTACAGTCATTAGACACATGAAGGAAAACATTGCCCGTTACGGAATCAAGGACACTCTAGTCAGCGACAATGGTCCACAGTATTCGAGCGCAGAATTCAAGGCATTCACGTCTGTCTATGGAATCAACCATCTTACGTCATCTCCATTACATCAGCAGGCAAACGGATTGGCGGAGAAGGCAGTCCAAATGGTAAAAAACATCATAAAGAAATGCACAGAATCCGGGGATGACATATATTTGAGTTTGTTAGAACTACGTAACACACCGCGTGATGAGGAGACAGGTTCTCCAATGCAGAGACTGATGGGAAGACGAGGGAAGACTCTCTTACCTATTACACCGAATCTCCGGAAACCTCAAGTTTCTGACCCGAGTAAGGTGACATCAAAACTTGTGGCTCACCGCCAACAGCAGAAATATTATTATGACTGGAATACGAAGTACAGGAAAGAAATCGGACCTGGTGACGCGATTCGTATTCAAACCCCTTCAGGGTGGAAACCTGCCGAAGTTGTAGGGAAAGCAAGAACACCACAATCATATATCGTCAAAGCAGGCGACAGCGCGAGAGAATACAGGCGCAATACAGAACACCTCATGAGAACACGTGAAGAACCGCACAAAATCGTCGCGAATGAACCAAAGGTCGCGCAGCCATACAGTTTAGTGCCAGGAAACCAAAACCCAAAGATACATGTAGCACCAGACAGTTCGAGAAAGGACACGATCGGTTCAGGATACGCGCTGTGTAGTCCAAGAAGAGACAGTAGCACAAAATGTGGTAACCCTCCAAGGGATGTGCCAAAGGTCGCGAAAAATGAGATCCGAACGCGGTCGGGACTGCTGTATGACCTTATGCAAAATTTCTCATTACTTTCAGAGGTTCAAAGGCACAGTTTCTCTACCCAAGGTCAACAAAATCTCTGTGAAGGCTCAGTGGGGTAGGGCAAAGGAGATTGTAAGATCTATGAAATACCCAGTGGACAAGTTTGGAGAGCTCTGGCAGTTACTAACTACCTTCCACCACCGGGAACTAGACCAACTCATCAAGCTAGCCCAAATTGCCTTAATTCTTCCACTTCACACAGGTGATTGCGAGAGAACATTCAGCCAGCAGAATCAAATCTTAACTAAGTCAAGAGCAAATCTCAGTTCAGAGCATTTAGATCAGCTCATAAGAACCCGATTATTTACAAAAAGTGGGGGTCTCGTTAACAAAGAAAATGTGTTGAAGTTGTGGAAATTAAATGCAAGGAAATTGTATCATCACAAATGGACTTCTTGATGATTATTAACATTATGATATCCATTATGATCTCAATTTTGAACTCACTTAGTATACAGCATTTGTGTTTTACTTACCTGACTGCAATTCTGGTTGGAGTCCGTCCGAAATTATGAATTTTATCAATTCTAGTCATTTTAGTTTTACAGGTGACTGCCGAGTGAGCAGTTTATACTTATTTATGTTCTCAATAAAGAGATAAAAGACAAAGTTGTCACTGACTTTATTAAATATGTTTTAAAAAATGTCACATAAAAATTACAAAATGTCACATAGATTTTTTTAAATGTCAGATAAATTTTGCAGAAGGAGGGCCATTGTCCCATAGTGAAAATTTATTTGCCAGTCACTGTGGTATATATTAAAAAAACGAACAACTGAACTTTTGGCCTCCGAGTAATATTTCACAACACACCCCGGTGACATTATTGATACAACTATTCTTAAAATAATATGCATACGCGACTACAAATTGCTTGAATGAAGTACATTATATATTATTATGAAAATGTTTTAAATATTTGGAATTAATGAGCAAAAACAAAAAAAAATACCCCGCTTAGGTTGACGAATAAAATTTAGAGGTCATTAGAATTAGGGGTAGTATTTTGAATATGCCACTTGGAGCCCTGTTGTATTCATTTGTTATTCTATATGACATATTCCATACGAAAGTGTACCATTTACTCCCATTATAAAAATGTTTTTGAAGTGAATATATTTCATTTATTTTTAACATCACCTGAAAATATGACCAAAATAAATCAATACTATGTAAAAAAATTATCAAGAATCAATAAAATCAGCATTTTATGATTAAATTAAATTTTCCATGTGCTAATGTCATGTTTGACGGAATCTTTGACGGATATTCTGACATTAGCACTTGGATGATATACACATTCATATGAATCTCTTATAAGCTTCAGTTTTAAAAATATGTTTTAATAAAAAATCTAAAAATTTGACATTAAAACTATTTTAAATCTTGAAGCTTTCTTATATCAATGATGAGATATTGTGGTTTCAAAATTGTGCTAATGTCAGAAGTTGACGGAACAACTTGTTGCTAAGGTCAGGTGATGACGGAACAACTTGTTGCTAATGTCAGAAGTTGACGGAACTATTTGTTGCTAATGTCAGGTAATGACGGAACAATTTACGCTAATGTCAGGTGATGACGGAACTCTATTTTCAGGTTTGTTGTTTGTTTAGGTTTAACAGCCCATCAACACAATTGTATTGACAGAACTTTGTCAAATTCATGAAATTCCAAGATGTATAGTCATTAAGATCTTGTTGATGGAGATGGCGTTTCTGTGTTTAAAATAATACATTATTAATGCATTAAGCAATGCTTGATATTGTACAAGTTGTCGCACTCTTTGAAACCAGATTTAACCTATAAATACATGGCTGGTGTTGCATGTGAGGCAGGCATTATTTACTCTTCCAGAGCACACAGGCTTGCCTTCATCGTTTTGAATGTCTATGTGTTACCCATTATGTTTAACTTCAGTATGTTGATGGCTGCATCTGCAGAGTGGAATGTTCTTTCATATTGATAGAACGTATTCGGGTTGTATAGCACAATTTCAAAACAGTAAAAAATAAATCCATTTTTATGTATTTCTTCAAAAGTTTATTTCCAATTTATGAATTTCATTATTTCTTCTGTTCTCATCTTCACACCATTTCTGCAAGTAAAAAAAATGAGAAGAATAAGTATGTAAATTTCAAACACAATTCATACAATTTAGAGCCCTATATTGAATAATTTATTTTTGGTAAAAAAACATTGTTGAAAGACTGAGAAAATTTTGCACTTATTCAGGGATTAGGAGACAGTATTAATATATACAGTTAACAAGGATAGGTACATGGTAAGTTATGATTATAAGCAATAATTGATTAGGAACAAACTTTAAATGAGGTTTTAGATCCAGTACCTTCACATTCTTATAATGCAATGAGTCTTACCAAATTTGTATAACATTCTGGATCCATACATCTCAATTTGTGGGGGGTCCAATTTAGATAAAATATCAGCGGTGATGATGGCATGCTTTAATGAACCCATCACCCAACCCCCTCTTTTCTTCTCAAAGAATGAGACAAACGGCCATTCCTGCACCTAAAAAAGCAACATAAAAAACACTTCACAGGTTGCAAAATTGTTTTCCTGTAATGGCATAGTTATGTTGAAATTAGAACACAGCTGGAAAATTGCACATTTATATGCTCTTCACATGTACTGATAAACTTTCTGCGATTTTAAATAATGGTGACTTGATATGTAAATTGTAAAACAATAAATGACCATTCAAAAATCAGCAAGAATTGAATTGTATGGGATGTTAAATATTATTTGATCGCAATAAATTTGAAAAGCTGTCTCCAAAGTAGAACTCTAAAACACAGTTTTGAAATTGACTAAGATTAATTGTTATAAAACACTATGCCTATATTATTCCACTTTATTATTTAGTTCAAATGTTACCAAATATAGTACTGGGTGGCACCATTTTAAATAATGCAAACTAAACATGAACTTACATTGATCTCTAATTGTTTAAAATTGAGGCCAACATTAACTGTACATACACTAAAAGCAAGACCATTAAAACCCTTTTCCCTGACTGCTAGGGTATAAAATTGGAAACAAATGAGAACAAAGAATATACAAATGAAATTGTAATACAAACTGAAAGTACAATCAACACAAGAGCAGACTTGAAACAAAGGCAAGATCTACATGGAGACTTCCTGCAAAACTACAAGGAGAATAAGACCAGAGGTTCCAAAAGAATAAACATCTTCAATGATGCCACTTGTCCTGTAGATCTTTAGAAGTCTACTCAAGTGAAAAAGTAACCATAAAAAACTGGAGCCAACAATATACTTACAACAGCAGGATACGATTTTTTGCCATGAGCAATAAGTAAAAATTGCCCAGTGGAATAACTGGAAGCATTAATATATAATATATCTGATATCAAAATATTAATTACTGCATAGTCAGCGTTTATCAAACTGACAAAAAAACATCAATTTTTTTAATCTGACTTCGTATGATTCATTGTTAATTTCATGTGTTCACTTTGTTAGAATAATAACAATATATATTGGTTTTGAGTACATAAAGGACACAACAATTATCTATCATGAGATGGTACTGGTAAAAGATGTAATTGTGGGAGGAGACACCAATTACCTGTTGTCCATGGTTGCTTGATTCTGTTCACCCACACTTGCTAAATTCTCATCATCAATGATTGCTGGACTCTGGACACTTCAATTACAAAACATGACATCATTGTAATTGTAATCCTTCATTTTAATTCACAAAGTAGGATGAGGAATGTTTGTCTTACTCAAATAATGATTGACATTTTGTCTTAATTTTGGTGTATGGATTGGATATTGTAATGTACATTAACAGTATCTAAACTCAGTTACATATATTATGCACTGTTGCATGCTTTCACAATGCTTTGCTTTTGATCTTCACTTGACATCTAGTTAGTTTATGATATAATTTAATGTATATACATGTACTCGGAAATTTTCGTCACTGGATACTTTCCCCCTTGGTAAAACGCAAAATACTTTCATCTACTTTAAAAAGTTGTAATTAGAAAATGAACTTTTCTCCTTCCTGTTGTATTCTCTCCATCCTCAAAAGGCGAAAATATCCAGGTATACAGTATTTACTTCACATGTTGTAGTATATGCACCATCTGATCCTTAGACATCCTATGTAGTATGCTAGCTAGCTTGTAACATATCTGCATGGTGTGCGTTGTGTGCTAATGCGTATGGATCACTAACCAGTCAATCCAAGCACAATGGAAACTGGGGGTTCTAGCTAGTGCTACTAAAATTTGAATGGCTATTTTCATACAGCACTTATGATATAAAAAGGACTATAATATGTATGAATACACTAGTAGTGTACTGAACTAGTATGGTGATCGGCATTTCAAAATTCCTTACAAATTTCAACTGTTCATAGATATCTTGAGCAATTTAGTCAGGTCATACAGGCACATTATAAATCAATGGTTTTTGTTTTTGTTCTGTGTCTACTTACTGTTGGTTTCCCTGATAGGCTTTTATTGGACTCTCCGTCTCCTGTGAACTGGCTATTGGGCTTTCCATTGCCTGTGAACTGGCCATTAGAATTTCCATCTCCTGTGAACTGGCCATTAGACTTTCCATCTCCTGTGAACTGGCTATTAGACTTTCCATCTCCTGTGAACTGGCTATTGGACTTTCCATTGCCTGTGAAATTGCTGTTATTGGACTTTCCAAAGACCGTGAACTGAAAACAAATCAAAATCATTAGGTATAAAGGAACAACATTTATTAATATTACAATGTACTGGTATAAAAACTGAAGGATTTGTAAGGGTGTTAAGGTAGAGAAAAATCTGGCAAATTAATGAATTTATCTTTTGTTCCGAGTCTACTTACTGATGGTTTCCCTGATAGGCTATTATTGGACTTTCCATCTCCTGTGAACTGGCTATCACTGGTATTGGACTTTCCATCTCCTGTGAACTGGCTATCACTGGTATTGAACTTTCCATCTCCTGTGAACTGGCTATCACTGGTATTGGACTTTCCAGCTCCTGTGAACAGGCTATTACTGGTATTGGGCTTTCCATCTCCTGTGAACTGAAACCAAATCAAAATCTTTGTATAAAGGAATAACTTATATTTATTGATATTACAATGTACTGGTATGATGATTGACAGATTTTTCAGGGTCTTAAAGTGGAGGGGAAACTGCAATACACGGAGAAAAATCTCAATCAGTGCATGCCTACCCTTTTGATTTTGATGTTTGGCTGTTTGTACATCCCTACCCTTTTTGTATTTCTGTGTGTACCTCGATTAAATGCCTATTAGTCAAAATATAAATATAGTACCTATGATTATAAATCAATTATTACTTACTCAGTAACTGTCTGAAGCAATGTATCCAGGAGACTGTCATCCAACTCAATATTTTCATCAGAGTCATCTGTGAAATTCTCATTCCGACCACAAACTTGGATGAGAGGAACAAAGTGGTTTGGTATCCAATTTTCCTTTTGTAGATCTTCTCTAGTGGATGTCCACATAATGAACAGAGGCTTCCTATGTCGCAGAACAAGAGGGTTGATTTCCCGACCTAATACTGCTTTGGGTACTGGTCCCCCCCAAGTCTGGATAAACAGAAAAGACTGTGCTTCCTAGCATATCAGCGAGTGCAAAGAGCTGCCATATTCCCATGTACTCTTTGTCTCTAACAACCGCCATAGCTTCTGCTCTAAAAATTCTCTTAATTACAGATGGTGTGATTTTATCGCCTGCCGTGTACAGTTGAGACATCATAGTGTATGTGACACTTAGATGATCACCTTCTCCTTTGGGAAATTCCAAGCCTTGTTGTAGATTGTCATTGTTGGTATACAATTCTTCCCCCAGGCACATGGCAGTTACAATCCTAACTCTTATCTCTTCATGGTGTTCCTCATTGCCAAAACATGCGACACTGACCGACCTGGGCAGACAGTTTCCATCACCTGTAATTCTGACTGGCAATCTGTTGCTTAGATCATTATTTACAGGCAGTAACCTTAGAGCCACCTTATCAGCAACCAATTTTGATTGGACCACTGTTACTGTATCATCCACTTGTACATGGCATCTTCGGAAATATTTGTCTTCTGTTAAATGTAAGCATCTTCTTTGAAGTTCATCAAATGATGATGATTTCTGGAGGCTGGAAAGAGTGTTTCTGAAGAAAAGCACACGTTCATCCCCTTCGATGGACAATTGTTCAGGTGTTACATTTACCAGTTGAAGTGCTTTTCTGGTCCTTTTTCTTGTCTTCTTTTTTGGGGATGGTTTCTTCTCCTTGGTGCTCTTGGCTGCATTTTTACTGGAATTGTTTTCTTTGTTGGCGCTTTGTTTCTGACTTGGTTGTCTTTTTCCTTCATCACAAGCACTTTCTGTAATATTCTTTGAACTTCCAGGCTCCCCTGAATTGCTAGTGAGGTAAATTTTTTTGAAAGGGGCAACAAATTCTTTGTTCACACAAGAATATCCTTGGCTGTCCATCTGACAAGACTCGCAGAAGCAGGAAAGATTTCTGACAAGTAGTGTTGACAATTCAGGTGAGTTGTTTATTATTTGGTGAAGTTTCCTTGTTCCTTTCACAGTCTTTGTGTGGTTCTCCTTTCCTTGCCTTTGGATTTCTGATTTTGGAATGTAGAAAAACCTCCTCTTGGATAGACAGTCATCAATTTCTAAGTTTTCATGGCAGTACATGTACATATCCAATACATTGTTTATAACCACTTTTTTACCTGTAATAGCTCTATCTAAGGCCCTGTTTACCACTCCGATCTCTGCATCACAGTCACCTTTTCCATGTTCAGAGCCAAAGAAGTTCCTGTTCACTTTTCTGTCCATCTTGGCCAATATTCCAAAAGGTCCTCTTGACTTGAATTGTGCACTGCAACCGTCACTAAACAAAATAGTTTTATCTGGGATTCCTATCCTGTTACTCAAATCCATGTAAACTTTCTCCTGAAAATAATCCACAGCATGATAATCATGGTTTAGATCATCAGATATAACAATGTCTGCTTCTCTGACAACACCTTGTTGAGTGTGGTAGTAAGAAACAACAGGATACATAGTGATTTGTTCAACAGTATAAAATACTGACTTGATTTCTTCCTGATACTTAATGCTTCGGTTTTTAGCAAAATCTACCACTTGAAGGAGGGTTTGTTCTGGCAAGGTATTCTTAATCAATGAAAACTGAAAATCCTGCCATTTAGCAGTGTGTAGGTGGGAAACAAATGTTGTTCCTTGTGATGGCTGTAAGATGTCTTGAATGAATTCCTCCAATATTACCCTTTTTTGTCCACTCTTTGTCTTGAGTATCCTTTTCTTTTGCCCCTCTTGGCTATGGTACTCCCATCTTACCCATGTGAATGTTTTCTCCTCAGGGATGTCCATGTAGTAGTTTTTCAATGTTTCTGCAAAATTATTGCATGCAGAACATTCTCGGTTGACACATTTCTGTTTGAAAAATTTCTCATTGTCAGACTTCCGACAAAGTAGAATGTTTAGTAATGATCCTTCAGATGACACCTTTTTGCTCTTTGGACAACATCTATTTAATGTTAATAGTTTATTTCTGACGTTCATACAGTAAACGCAACAGCAATACTCTCGAAACTTTTCTGCAAGCTTTCTCACATTTCTAGGTCTTTTGGCTAAAAAACGCCCAAGTCCAACTTTGACTGATGATTCTAAATTGAACTTAGCATGGGCCTCACTGATGGAAATTTGCATCAAATAACCAGGACCCTCTTTGGTGGCGTAACGTTTTGTTGGAAGGACTCGTGATACATCTGATCGTTTATAAAACTCTTTTATGCAGTTATTGACATCCTGTGATTTTCTTTTCTTTTTCTTAGTTTTCTTTGTTAGGTTTTTTCTGTCAATTTTCAGTTTTGTAGCAACTGCGCGCTTGCTAAGATTTCTGTATCTAACTACAAGAGACCTTGCCAAGACTACCAAGGCCTTTTTTCCTTTAGTTGTCTTCTTCATTTCCTTTAGGCCAGCTTCTGGAACATGGATGAACTCATCAGCGATGGTTTTCCTTACTTCTTTTTTCTGCTGTGGACTGGAGTTTTTGATTACATTGCGTAAGATTGTGGCAAACTTCTTTGGGGACTTTGGAAGTGTTTTTCTTACATTAGATGTAATATTCCATTCACTCTTTTTTGTTCTGAAGGGTGTACTGGATTTATCCTGCACTTCTGTAACTGTTGCCTTGGAAATATTTTTTCTCTCTCTTGATCTACGCTTTCTCTCTCTGTCTTTCTTCTTGACCCATTCTTTCTTCTGGTAATTCATTCTTTCACGTTCATTGCGTTTTGCTTGCCGATTGTACTCTTTCCTTTGCAGAATTTTTGCCCTGGTTTCAATAATACATGCATTTTTCTCTTTTCGTGATTTCTTTAAGCATGTTCCACTCTGTTTTCTTCTGTTTTCATATTTCTCTTGTCTCTTTCTCTGCAACGAAAGGATTCTTTCTTTCTCTTTAACCACTTCAGGGTCTGGATTTGTCTTTTTAAGTTCTCTTTTTATTTTATCTCGTTTTTCTTTTACTCGCTTTTTTTGCTTTTCCAAATAGTGACGATACTTGACAGGATCAGCCTCTTTAAGCCATTGTCTATATAAGTTACTCCTATGTAGTCCTGTAACAGGAAAAAAAATAATTGTTAAATGACAAGGTTTGGATTGGCCCACATACTTAAAATAAAATCATATATCAGGTCCTTAGGTAAAAATTTACTTTCAAGTCAAAGGTTTTATCTAAAATAGTTTATATATATTTCTACACTGTGCTTTTCAATTTCCCTAATCACAGAAAGCAAAATTCAAATAAAATTATCCTTTTTTATAGTGCTCTCGACTTTTTTGAGGTGGAAAAAAATCTGACAATAGGTAATAGGTTTCCTCTGTCAATATATTTTCAACACATTCTGTTGTAAGTGTGACAAGAACTTATTCATCCTTGGACCAAAATGAATCAAAAGGACTTGTAAGCTTGAGTGAAATTACGCTATTCCACACAATCTTAACCATGTTACACAGTACAATACAAATAATGAAATCACTACACGGATGAATTGCATATTTACCATAACTCCTGGTTAACACGAAATGTCTGTCATGCATTTACATTCGCACATGATATGTCCGTCACTTATTTACGTTCGCTCATCAAGTGTCCGTCACTGATTTTACGTTCGCACACTAACCTTGTATGATTCACCTCCAGCTGGCGGTAAATTCAAAGCACTCACGAAAATATATCACTTGAAAGCGTAATTCAAAATCCTGCAACATATCAGCCCCAAATCATCGTTTAATGATATTCCCTGTGCGAACTGTCATTGATGCGAACGTAAAAAAAGTTGACAGAAAAACCAAAACATCAAAAACTCACCACTGAGATTCTCCGTGCCGCTAATGACAGCTGCCATGTTTACGGAAATAACACAGCGCCCCCTTGTGTCGAGACTTCGATGTGAATGAAGGGCGGTAACATATGGTAAAGTGAAAAACAAAATTTGCGAACGTCGGAAGATATCGCGACACTGTTTGACAGAATTTACGTTCGCACGGCTTTTGGAGTTTTTAATCGAAAAACTTTAAAATTTAGTTGCAATTGGGATTATTATAAATGAAGGCAAACACACTAACTTCGAGCAATAACTGTGATTCATGTCCGGCCAATCAATACCAACGTTTGAGGGGACAAATTGCGAACGTCAGGATTGCTGACAGAATATTTAAAAAAAACTATCACATCGAAGCAAATTAGCTTTTTGATTTTATATTGATCTTTTTTAAAACAAAAAATATGAAAATACGTATTTTTAGACCTTGTGTATTTTTTTAATGAACAGCGATTAAGATTTAGTCGGAAGAAAAAACTTTAAAAAGAGCCTGGAAAAGTGTTACGGGATAGACGGGAGTTCAGTTCCGTCAAAAAACGCTTCATTCTGTTTTTATTTTATTCTTGAAATGATTTCATGTTTCAATATTGTATAAATCAATTGATTTTCTAGATAGAGATGATAATGTTTTTGCTTAAAAACCACAAAAAAAATTTTTTTTCATTTATTGGAAGAAATATGACAGTTATGCAAACATATCGTGAAATAATTGTCTTTTTCTGAGTTAACTCCCTTGAAATGGAACTCTTCAATTGGAGGTTAAAAGAGAAAAATGGCGGAAGAAACAAGTCGCCGGAGAAGAATTCATGACCCTTCAGGCAAAGAGGTGGGTAATTATCGGTAAGTGAGTAAAGAATTTTCTATTTCAATAATTTTAGCAATGTTTAAATGAGTTTTCATGCTAATTCTAGCTAGAAATGTAAAGTTTTTCACATCAACAGAGAAAGCTCACCGGTGTACACATAAATTTATACACCTATTTTTAGTCCTCAGTAGTGTAAACCTCAGGTAGTCGCTACGTGCAATGACGATATATGCACTATATAGTATTCACTTACAAGTAGACGTTAAACTCTTCAACCAACCAACTCTCTTTATAGTGCATATATAGTCGAACTACATCAAATTCATAGCATGAGCCTGTTAGCCTAATAGATATAATCTAA